GAGATTCCCCGGTTTGCTTGTGTAAAATTCTAACCAAAATTCTATAATTGTACACTTAGGCAACCGGTGTGGTTTGTTGAACTGATTGCTGAGTTCGAATGCTTTACTTGCTCATCGCCATTTTTGCTTGGCGCTCGCTTCGGTTGCAACGCGCGACTGCTCTGTGTGCTGTGTTTGCTCCGTTTCCCTAGCTAGAGCGTACACGGTGTCGTTCGTTTATAGCTAGCTAACAGGGAATCTTTTGCTGAACCAATAAAAGTTCCCCTGCAACTCGATCTGTCTTCTGGAATCGCTCTCTGGGCTCCCGGAATAGGCAACCCTCTAAATTGGTGACCCCGGATCCGGAACAATTTCAACGCCGGATATTTCGAACTTTTCTCCGGTGAGCTCGTTCTATTTATTTTTCATATTTTCCGGTTTTATTTTTGCATACGGTAGCCTATTTTTTCGCGTCATTTTTTCAAATCATGGAATCTGTAGACCATAAGGTAGAGTCTATGCTTAGTGTTGTATCTCTCTCAGTTCCACCTTTTTGGGACATGGATCCTGTTTTGTGGTTCGCTCATCTGGAGGCTGAGTTTTACAACCACAGAATTACTTCCGACTACGCGAAGTATTGCAAGCTCCTGTCCTATCTCCCCAAGGAGATATCAATGCAGGTTCGTGACGTCATCATTTCTCAGACCGAAAACCGCTATGAGGCTCTCAAGGAAGCCACGATTAAGCGTGTTATGCCCTCTGAGAAAGTTCGCCTGCAGCAGCTTTTCAGGGATCTGCAATTGGGCGACAAACTGCCCTCAACCCTGCTACGCGAGATGCAGCAACTCCTTGGTTCATCAACCATGGACGAGACTTTACTTCGCGAACTATGGCTACAACGGCTACCGGAAAACACACAAGCGATTCTCGCTACAGTGAGCTCCGTTCCGCTCACTCAACTAGCAGACTTAGCGGATCGAGTTATTGAACGAGCACAGCCACAGGCCAACGCCAGCAAGGTCCATGCCGTCGCGTCCCAGGGCACTTCTATCACTGGCTTACAGTCAACTATAGAAGCCCTCCAAACACAAGTTGCGACACTTAGTCGCCAGATGCAACAGCTTACTATGACCCGTCGTCGTCCTAGCCGCTCAACATCGCCCTGCAAACGTTCTAAGTCTAGAAACAGGCAGGCTAGCTGTTGGTACCACCAGCGTTTTGGTACCGCAGCTCGTAAATGTGTCAAGCCTTGCAACTACGCCGAGCAGCAGGGAAACTGCTCGGCCGGTCGGTAACGGCGACGGACGCGACCGGCCAACACCAAAGTCGCCTCATCCGTGTTAGGGATTTAACTTCCGGCACCGAGTTTCTAGTCGACACTGGTGCCGAAGTTAGTGTCATACCCCGTAGCGCAAATGAGGTCGTCTCACCATCGCCGACCAAGCTGCGTGCCGCCAATGGCACACCAATCGCAACTTTCGGCGAAAAGCTGTTAACGCTCAATTTAGGCCTCCGGCGAACCTTTCGCTGGCCTTTCATAATCGCTGCTGTGCCTTTCGCCATCATAGGCATAGACTTTCTTCAACGCTTCGACCTCATCGTCGACGCTAAACGGAAGAAGCTTATCGATTCTAGGACACAGCTCAGTGTTATCGGGACTAGCGCCAACGTGGCTGCTATCACTCCCATTCGTGTCCTACCTCAAGCTTCACAGTCTTTTCTAGAACTTTTCAGCAAGCACCCTAAACTCGTTCGCGTCCTGAACGAGTTGCCTCCTGTGACGTCAAACGTCACGCATCACATTTGCACTAAGGGCCCACCTGTTTCGGCCCGCCCTCGCCGACTAGCCCCGGACAAGCTCAAAGCTGCGAAGGCGGAATTCGAGCAAATGCTCGAACTGGGAATCATCCGCCCGTCTAAAAGTCCATGGGCATCACCATTACACATGGTGCCTAAGAAATCCGATGACTGGCGCCCTTGTGGTGACTACAGGGCACTTAACAAAGTTACCGTCCCGGATAAATACCCTATTCCGCACATGCACGACTTGACCTCAGCTCTAGCTGGCAAGTCTATCTTCAGCAAAGTCGACTTAGTTCGCGCCTACCATCAGATACCTGTCGCGCCAGATGACATTGCTAAAACAGCAGTCATCACGCCATTTGGCCTATTCGAGTACCTCAGAATGCCTTTCGGCCTCAGCAACGCTGCCCAAACTTTTCAGCGTTTCATTCATGAGGTAACGCGAGGACTCGAAGGCGTTTATCCTTATCTAGATGACATACTCATCGCCAGCTCTTCTGACGAGGAGCATCTTCGTCACCTCGACGCTCTCTTCCAACGCTTAACACAGCATGGGGTTACCGTCAACCCCGATAAATGCGAGCTTGGCCAAAGCTCCATCGACTTTCTTGGCCACCGCATATCTGCCTCTGGTATTGAAGCCCTGCCAGACAAAATCCAGGCACTGAAGGACTATCCTGCTCCCAGTTCCTTCAAGCAGTTACGCCGATTCCTTGGCCTGGTCAACTATTATCGACGCTTTATCCTAACTGCGCGAGCATTGTTCAACCAATGACTGACTTGCTCCGCGGTAAACAACGCTCTTTTCACTTTCCAGACGACGCTAAATTGTCTTTCGAGAAGCTCAAAGACGCTATCTCCAACATAGCGCTTCTCGCCCATCCAGACACGTCTGCATCACTCTCTCTGACAACTGACGCATCAGACACTGCCGTCGGTGCAGTTCTTCAGCAACTCATCGACCATCGATGGATACCTCTAGGTTTCTTCTCAAAGCGCTTACAACCTGCCGAATCGCGATACAGCACCTTCGGTAGGGAACTGTTAGCTATCTACCTAGGTATCCGACATTTCCGTCACTACCTCGAAGGTCGACATTTCACCGTCTTCACCGACCACAAGCCATTGATCTACGCAATCAATGGCGCAACAGACAAGTACTCGCCGCGGGAAACTAGACACCTAGACTACGTTTCTCAGTTTACGACAGACGTACGTCATGTCTCAGGTGCTCTCAATCCCGTCGCGGATGCGCTTTCACGCATTCAGCAGATCAGCTTATCGCCTGGCACCAACATTGATCTAGCCGCTATGGCTGCTGCCCAACAAGCTGATCCCGACATCGACAAGCTACGACGCAACACCTCGTTAAAACTACGTGAAGTCCCACTAGCTTCATCTGAGGGGACCATTCTTTGTGACGTCTCACAAACTTCTCCCCGACCCGTAGTTCCTACCTCAATGCGTCGACTAGTTTTCAATGCTTTACACAACCTGTCTCATCCCGGCATACGTGCTTCGCAGAAGCTCGTAACGGAACGCTTCATATGGCCCAACGTCAATCGCGATGTCCGCCTTTGGGCACGCGCATGCTTAGAGTGTCAGCGCGCCAAGGTCTACAGACACACCAAAAGCCCACTTGGCGTCTTTCCCGCTCCTGACGCTCGTTTTGCACACGTCCATGTCGACCTGGTCGGACCTTTGCCTCCATGCAAAGGCTACGTGTACCTACTCACCTGTGTCGACCGATTCACTCGTTGGCCAGAGGCGATTCCGTTAGTCAACTGCTCATCTGAGACAGTTGCACAAGCTTTCTTAGAACGCTGGGTAGCTCAGTTCGGTTGCCCAAGCGTAGTCATCACTGACAGAGGATCACACTTTGACGGATCCTTCAGCAAATTGCTCAACGTTCTTGGTTGCCAACATAACCGAACCACCGCATACCATCCCGCAGCTAATGGGATGGTAGAAAGGTTCCACCGGCAACTCAAAGCCTCACTCTGTGCCCAATCTAGCACATCCTGGCACGAAGCACTTCCGCTCGTTCTCTTAGGCATAAGAAACACGATTAAAGCGGACTTGCACGCCACTCCATCGTCGCTAGTCTTTGGATGCGCACAACGCTTACCTGGTGAACTCGTCTCACCAAAAGCGCCAACAACTTTCGACTATGGCGACTACGCAGCTCGCCTATCTCATCACATGCGACAGCTTCAGCCTGTGCAACCCAGAGCACAGAGCTTGCGTACAAACGTGGACGAACGGTTAACTACTTGCACGCACGTGTTCGTTCGCACTGACAGCGTACGCCGACCACTTCAGCCTCCTTACTCTGGTCCGTACCGTGTCGTACGTAGAAGCGACAAAACGTTTACCATTGACTACAATGGTAAGACTGAGACGGTCAACGTCGATCGACTCAAGCCAGCATACCTTGACAAGTCTGACTCGCCGGTGCAACAAGCACCTTCACAGCCCGTGCCACCACAGCCGGCACCGCAAACGCAGACGAGTCAGCCCGCTCCAGCAGAACCGACAAACACAACCGACAGCACTCCTACCCGCCCTACCCTCAATCGACGCGGTAGGAAACTCAGGCCTCCAGTTCGTTTTTCAGACTTTGTTAGCACTTATTATTTTACATAGAACGTGCCTTCGAAATTTTCTGCTCTTACTAAGCGTTTTTGAAAACCCACAAAAAAGATCAAAACGTTTTGAAATTACTAAAAAAGAGCAAAATCTTTTGAAAACCCAAAAACAGCTTTGCACGTTTTTCGCTTTGCACTCTTTTGTGTATTGCTATGCATTTATGCTGCTTTTTCATTTTGCTTTCCATATACACCGTCGGTTGGTTGCACCTCGGTTTCACTTTCGCTGGATCTCCGCACGTCAACTGGAAGTTGCAACAATCTTCCTGCTCAACTGCCTACGTGAACTTTATTAACTGTCCCCCCCACAAACAGTTTTTTACCGTTTCGACACCGTAGGGAGGACACGGGTGGGAGCCCGCTAGGGTCCGATTGCATGGTTCTCCCCCAGCAGCTGCATCGGGTTTCACAACCTGGTCTCGCAGAAGGCTGGCCGGCGACGGACAGTCCTCACGTAGATCGAAGGACTGCTTACACAGTCCCTTCTGGGAGAGGGCTATGTAGCAGTCTGGAGATTCCCCGGTTTGCCTGTGTAAAATTCTAACCAAAATTCTATAATTGTACACTTAGGCAACCGGTGTGGTTTGTTGAACTGATTGCTGAGTTCGAATGCTTTACTTGCTCATCGCCATTTTTGCTTGGCGCTCGCTTCGGTTGCAACGCGCGACTGCTCTGTGTGCTGTGTTTGCTCCGTTTCCCTAGCTAGAGCGTCCACGGTGTCGTTCGTTTATAGCTAGCTAACAGGGAATCTTTTGCTGAACCAATAAAAGTTTCCCTGCAACTCGATCTGTCTTCTGGAATCGCTCTCTGGGCTCCCGGAATAGGCAACCCTCTAAATAAGTCGTAGCTTGACCGCCTGGATTGTTTAAGGCTGATTGCATTGGAATGACTCAGGTTATGAGGAGACCTGATGGCATGGGTTAAGCATAGAAAGGCTGGTGGTGGCATTAAGCCTACCCAGCTCTTTGAACTAGCTACATCAGACACATTGCAAGGCGTCCGACTGAAACTCATGAAGCATATGTCCAAGCTCTATAGCCGGTCCAACCTTTGCACTTAAGACGTAATACTAGATGGAAGTTATTTTGACTGCACTAGTGGAAAGTAATGCTATAGAAGCCTTTAAAAGAGGTCTAGTTATGAGTTGAAGCAGTCTGTTTCCGGAGTTGCATTGAGATTAGTAGAATCCAATTAGCACAATGGTAATGTCACGAATGGTTTCAAAAGGTAATGAAACGTTTCCCTTACCCCTTTTAAATCTGCAGAATTAAGGCGCGAACGCCGAAATGCCGAGGGCTCCGGCTTCCTTAACGGCACACAAAAGAGGATGCCCGTCAGGTGGAGGCCCGTTCCTTCGCCATAGACCTTACCTTACCTGACCTGACCTACGCACGCTGTGGCGGTATGTGTAGTAAAATTGGAAGGATACAGAGAAGAATAGCAAGACTGCTGCGCAAGGATGATATGCAAAATCTTGAAGCGTTTTATAGCTTTTGTCCAAGCTGCAGGTTAACGTGGGCTATTGCAAGTCGTGCTGTTCATATGTGGAACAACGTTCTTGCTGCCTTACATAAAACGCGACTGTAAGAGCAATCAAAAGCGGTATGGATAATCGTTTGTCAGATCTTTTTCCTGAATTGTTGTAACTTTATTCGCGATGTTTATGGAACGTGAGGTCCATGATCCAAGAAGGTACAGTGGTCGCACTTTTATTGCTTCATTTCTGTTTCAGAGGCACGGAATACAATTCAGCTGTCGAAGTACTGTGACCCTGTTTTACTTTCCGGTACAAGACACGGGACGCTAGTTAAGCGGAGCATATTTTCGTACTTTATACTGACTTG